GCCGCCCAGCCCGTTCGCCGCAAACGTCGTGAACTCGCCCCCGGGGCTGCTCTTCCGGGGTCCCCCGTTCGGGGTGCTGTTGGGATTCTGGGGGCTGTTGTAGTACTCGGGGGTGGGCAGACGGTGGCTGCGGGCGGGGTGGGCGTCCATCATCGACGACATCCTGCTCCCAGTTTCTTGCTGCTACTTGTTCTTTCTGTTCTTCCTGTTCTTCCTCCTTGTCCTTGGATGCCTCGCGCCTGGATGGACGGGATGGGCAGCGAAGAGATGCGATGAGACCAAGACAGCGGAATGGAAAAAAGGCTGGGGATATCTAAGATAACATCACCCAATCACAGCCCTGCCATTGCGGATTAGATTATTATTATCACATCACTTCCGTCGCTATCTCATCTTCCAGCCCCTCCGCAGCAGTCCGGTCCATCTGCAATCCACCCCCGAGTCCTTCTATCCACTCACTCACGGCCATCAACCTTTCATTCTAAATGTCAATAAATTATCAGTTGAGTCGACACCCCCTATCTCATCTACATCTACGCATCAACGGAGGCAAGCTAATCCGAATCGCATCTCATCGCATGCCACAAGCTTCAAGCGTTCTTTGCGTTTGAGACGAAACATGGGCGCCGTCGCCGCGGCACCACCGCACCGGTCGGGCAACTTCCGTCACTGATAATAGTACACTGATGAGATGGACGGATGACATCTGCCCTTGACAAAGATTAGATTCCCTTACTCACATCTTTCTTTCATCGCCGCCACGCGAGCAAGTCCCTGAACCCTGATTTGATTTGATTCGAGTTGCTCTCCTGGCAATCATCGTTGTCGCCTCTTCGTATCTCCGGAACCATCATCTCACTGGCACTGCTACCAGTCCTTCAAACAAGTTTAAGTACAAATCTAGACAGCCTGAGGCCCGGGCCGCGTCTCGTTCCAGTCCTTAATCCTTATCCATACCCCCATACCCGGATCCCGCACTCCCCGACTGCCCGATATCGACGCGCCCCGACTCCGACGCCGTCCTCTCCGGAGCTCATCCGGACACTCAACCGGTCACGCGCGGCGTGCTGCGCGCCGCGTCGCAGAGTCATTTATGCCATCCGTCGGCGCCCCAACCAAATCCAAATCCAACGCAAATCCCCAACCGACCCGCCCCCATGGCCATGGCCACCGCCAAATCCCACATAATCAACTCACTCGCCCACTGCACCAATTGCAAACCGAAACCAAACTCGAGCTGCTTGAGCTCACAACCTATCGTCAGCCCCAGCACGTTTTGCACCCACGAATCATCATATTTCGCCGACGAGTCGGACGACTCTGAGTCTGAGCCTCGAGCTCGCGGCGACCAAAGCAAGAAATCGACCCGCGCCGTCGACGCCAGGACGGAATTCCGAGCTAAACACCCTTGGATCTACAAGAACTGTACTATAAGTACGGCGTCCCAAGAACCACCCAGGCTTTTCGGCGCAACATGCATTCTCCCTCAACTACCCTTGACGCCCCGGGGTATCGAACTCAAGTCCGCCCTCTCGAAAAAATTCTCCTCCGTAACCGCACCCGTACTCGCTCGGTGCGTCTTTCTCCTTTTCTACTACTAAGTACTAAGTATTAAGTGAACTCACAAGCTTGGTTCTGGCATCATCGAGGTTCCCAACGTCTCTGCACGCGTGTCGCCTTAAACTTAGCCTCGAACACCGGACTCCATGTATTCTTATCCTCAGCTCAGCTCAGCTCAGGACCCGAACGTGGGCGCCCCACCCTGCGCTTCCCTGTCTCTAATTCTTTCTTAAAACCGTAACGCCCCTCACGTCCAGCTCCAATCTTTTTCAACCCTATAATTCGCATCCGATTCTCCGGCGCCGAAATGCAGATTGCCTGCCCATCCGCCCGATAGTGCACGCAGAACGTCGGCGCCCGGTCCTCACTGGCGTCTTCCCTTCGACCGCGCTCATCTGAGATCGCAAGAATAACCTCCAGCCAAACCCAAACTTGATCATGCAGTCAAGTGAATAATATTGATACCGATGGCGAATTCAAGTGGCGTACCGCACCCGCCTTCCTTCCTTCCTTCCTTGCTTCCTTCCTTATCACATCCGACTCTCACCCCAGGCTCGCTGGCTGGCTTCGGTCTGCTCTTCAAATTACATTCGATTCAACGATACATTTTCAGCCTGCTCACTCTGGCAACGCAACGTCCAACATCCGACTCTGAACATCCTGCACTTCTCTACGCTTGAAACCTCCGCCCAGCTGACTTCGACTTTTCTTTACCCCGATCCCAGATCCCAGATCCCACGCTTTTTAAAAAAACCGTCGAACCATCGAACTATCAATATCCATACTCGGTGGCGTAACAAAATCGCGCGTGTCTATCACTTCCCGCGCATACACACACACACTGTCTATCACCCCCTCCCATATCGCGTACCCATATCGGGGGCGCCGGTCCTCAGGCTCGCCCAGTTCATGGTCAACAACCCCACCTCCATAAAAGAAACTTGAACCTGACACAAAACACCCAGCACTCTGTGGTTTCACCCCCGAACTTCGATCCCGACTAGCGCTAGCGTTCATGCACATGTCTAGATCCCCGGGGTTCAGGTCGGACTGTGCCATCGACAGCGGCCGTCTCCCCTTCTTTTTTTTGACTCACAAGTGCGTGCTTAGGCTGGCTGGCTGGGGTCCATATGTACTTGAGAGCTCGGAACTCGAACTCGAACTCGCGATCGGAACTCAGACCTCGGCCTCCGACGTCGACCAAGGTAGCGTACATAGTAATACTGTATGAGACACCGGTCGGCCCTCCCTGCCTCCCTCTCGCCCGGAACCTAAATCATCGCCCCTCCGACGGCTGGTAGGCCAAATACTAATCTAATCTTCCCGGCCGCTTCGAATTTGATCTTTTCCGACCGCGCTAGCTCAGCTGATCGATCGCAAGGATAACCTCCAACCTCCAGCGGCGCCAAACCCAAACTAGGTCGTCAAGTCGAGTAAACAATAACACAGAATTCAAGTGGCGTATTCCCAGCACCGCACCCTCCTTATCACATCCGACTGTCACTCCAAACTGGCTTCGCTCTTCGAATTACATCCAATTCAATGATACGTTTCCAGCCAGCTTACGCAACGTCCAACATCCGACTTTGAACATTTCTCCCCCCCGCTGGCTTCGACTTTTTCACTAACCTGATCCCACGGAAATAAACCGGTGAACTATCTATACTGACCTATACATACTCGGTGTGGCGTAACAAAATCGCGCGTGTCATCGTCGCGCCCTCCCCATGTATCACTTCACTTCACGCCCACACTCTGTCTATCACCTGGCATTTATCACCCATATCGGGGGCGCGCGTGTACGACTCGGAAATCGGGATTCTCACCACGATCCGAGTCCTTCGCGTCCTCCTTGTCCTTCCTCAGGGTCTCGCATAAAAAAATCCGACACAACTACACATGTCTTAAAATATAATCTAAACGCAACTGGAACGCAGTTTCACCAGGTACCCCCTGCTTTCCTTCAATCTGCTCCGACTACCGAGCCTCCGACGGAGTTGCGCTCAACTATCCACTGTATGTACATGGCCATTCTGTCTCCGGGGTTCAAGTCGGAGGATGTATGTACGGTGCTAGTAACTATCGACAGCGGCGGCCCAGGCCCCCGGACACTACCTTTGAGCCCTGTCCGCTTTTTTCCAAAATTTCTAACTGATTTACTCTATGAAATCCGGTCATAGACCATTGATTTACTCTATTCCGGACGGGGCTCTTATAAAATACCAATTTCGCGCTCCAGGCCCCATTTTTTCGCTCCCAGCCCGCCGCAGGCGCTTTCTGCCTACCCCGTGCATCCAGTGAAAAAATTTGCGGCACGCCGTTGTCTGATGATTGGTGCTCATTGCTGCTGTTTAACATCACCACCGGAACCCTCGGCCGTGCTTGCGCCCTATATGCGCTCAAAAAATTTTCTCGCGCACAGCGCGATTTACTCTATGGCGGACAGACATCACCCCTTTCGAGGCTGATTTACTCTATATAGCGGACAGAGGTAGGCCCTTTTTTGGCCGCTGATTTACTCTATCGCGGACAGGGCTCAAAGGTAGTGTCCGGGGGCCTGGCGGCCCAGGCCGCCTACCTTCCTTTTATTTTTAATTTTTAATTTTTAATTTAAATCCCCTCGCCGCGGCCGAGAACTCGGACCTCGACCCCAGCGCTAGGCCTCCAGGTAATAGCTAAAAGGGTACAAGGGTACAAGCGGTCAGCACTGTGTGTCGGGAAACTATAAATCGCTTCGCGCTCAACTCGGACCTCGGAACCAGCCCCGACGTCCGACGTCTATACGCGCGCCACTGGCAACGTCAAGTTTCAACCCGTGTTTCTTTCCCGGCGGCCGGGCTCTGAATGGTGAACCCGCCTCTGCGTCCGCGTCGGCGAACTGACATATGCATTTCTCCTTGACATGCATTGACAATGACTGCAATATGGATAGTAGCCTAGTAACACTGGAGCAGTTGCAAGGCAGGCGGCCGGACCTTCCTGGCTAGTTTACAATTATTTCTCCCTATCCATATCGATATCCATTCTTACTATCCGTTGCCATGCACCATGCCCGAGTAGATCCGAGTGACCGAGTCCGAGGTTGGTTTTGGATATCCTTGGGATCTATAAGTACTGTGCATGTGCGTGAGGGATTTGTGCTACGCCCGCCGGCAACTTGCAATTGTCTTGTTTAACTGTTTAACTCCTGTTTCAATGGGTGGTCTTGGCGGGGGTCACCTGGTGGTCTGTAGCTAATTTTGCGGCATGCGTGGGCTTCCTTCTAGACCTAAATAGTATTCTAATTTCAACTGTAACTCCCGTACGCCACAGTGGACCGGATCTATAGTGAACAAAAATTTTACTCTGATCCGCGATCGAAATCATTCAGAGCTCCTGCAACCAGTAAAGGTTAAGGAAATGAAAGGAGGGGAGGGAGACCAAAAAAAAAGAGGTAAAAATGACCACCGCAGGGGTCGAACCTGCAATCTCCTGATAACATATTTTAGCCGAGCGATCGTAGTCAGACGCGATGCCATTTCGCCAGGCGGCCATTACAACACTGTACAGCGGATATTATATTACCCTGGACCAGATAGTGAATGTGCGATCCTATAAGCATGTGTTTCGCACTTCTTGTAACTTCCAACCTTGAACCCAAGTTCTCACAGGGTCAATATCGGATCCAGGTGTGAGAGTGGCCCAACTCGTGAACTTACAGCTATTCAGTATACTGTACTAAAACTACGGTAGGGTCCCCTGTCGCCCATTTTACTTACTGTCTTTGGACATTGAACCAGTCTAGTACGGCTCCTCTGTGAGAGTGGAGTGGTTGAGGCAGTTCAGCTAATTGGTTCTATTGACGGCTTTGAAACTTAAAATTCAAAGTGACTTACATGATTACATCTTAACAGTGTGAGATGCTCTGCCCACTGAAAGTACTTCTGGTCACCGAAAGGTGAATACTGTATATTAGAACTATCACAGTAACACCTAAAACTGTTGATCTTGGATGTATCTCCAGTGTCACTGACTGCTAAATGTTGAATAGAGCCGTTTCCCGGTTAAAGGTTTGTATAAACGAAAAATACATGATTAGCATATTCCTTGGGGTCGAAAACAAAGGCCATGCAGCATATTCCATGCAAGCTCGATGAACCTCTAGCACATCAGGGCCTACTGATGTACTGTAGGTAGGCCATGACAATCAAGAAATGAAATTTGTCATCCTGAAGTGTAATCCAGCATTCGCGTGCGTAAACGAAGCACCATAGTCAAGACTCCCTCAACTCCGATGGCCGCCTGGCGAAATGGCATCGCGTCTGACTACGAGAGGAATTCGTTAGCGGTAATCAGGAGATTGCAGGTTCGACCCCTGCGGTGGTCATTTTTCTTTATCTTTTTATCTTTTTTCCTTTTTGGCTGTCTTTCTGCAGGTTCCACCATCAAGCAACGAACGTTACTTTTTTAATACATAGACAGATCGAAGGAGTCCGTTTATACGAAAGGTGGCGTTCAAGCTATAGTTTACTTCACCTTAAAACACGTCGTAGCGTGTATGTACCCTACCCACATTTACACAACCTGCTTCTGAAGGTTATATTGCACGATGCCACAAAGGAAGTCAAGAAAGAAGCGGAGAATGGTAAAGGGCCAAGCTATTATACCGAAGTGGAAGGTGCAATGGCGTGTTGCGAAACTCTTCAGAGTTCAAGGTCAGGTTCTTACCAGCGAATTTGGTCAAAAACACGGCAACGGGGAAACAAAATGACCACCGCAGGGGTCGAACCTGCAATCTCCTGATGATTTAAATACGCCAATAAGGGATCGTAGTCAGACGCGATGCCATTTCGCCAGGCGGCCATGAGCGGAAAGTGCGATCTAAGCTCTCCCAGTCAGCTCCGACTTTCACCTTGCATGGTGTATCATCCGTTTCTGAAATGTTCCGTCTATCCGTATGCAGCGATCCGCTTCGTGAAAACGAGAGAGAAAAAACATCTTATCGATCGCGATCGCGAATCGCGATGGTCGATCAAAACGATGTGATCCGAGTCCAGAGGCTGTGCAGAGATAACCACCGCTTCCTGACGTTGATCTGGTAAATTTTGGCGATCTCGGAAAACAAGACATGTCTGGCCGGCATCGATGACGAATTTCCATGTTGCGGGGGCGGCTGGAGGGAGACGCGTGCGTTAGTTTCGACAAGCTTGCACCGAACAAGTCAATCTCAGGCTCCGAAGAATTCCATCGAGGTACTTATGTACCACAGGTTCGAAGTCAAGGACGTGCCTTGCCAGGGCATTGGCTCACATCAGTAGCTGCTGGAGGGCCGTGGCTCTTGCGTCCCTTCTGGTCGCTGGCCGCCATTAAGTTACAATGGCGTCGTCAAGAACTTCGCGCGAGCATATCCTCCTGCCATGCTTGAAACGTAGATCTCTCGAGCACACACGTCAAAAATTCCCCTTGACGCATCCGAGGAATTAGAATCCGGCCCTCAGATGGCGGTGTTCGAAATTTTGGCGGCGCATTCTTCCCATTGGGAGGAGCTCAGTATCAGCTTATTATCCGATCTCATTCCGCCCGTATCCACCTTGCTTCCGGTACATCACCCCGGTCGATATCATCTCAACGCCCCATAGGAGACCCACTTGCCTATTCTCAGGCTCGGTTCAAACCTCGTCAAGTCCCATATTGAGATCCATTTCGACGAAACAGAATGACCCCAATCATTTGGCTCCATCGACCATCCATCTATGTGCCGTCTCCGCACCTCCGAGCCTGCAGTGCATTCGAGCCCCTATTCCGAATTTATTCTGGGTTCAACTTACATGATCTCGGTACTCGGGCCGATTCCCGCAGCTTGCGTTTGACCACATCCCCAACCTCAAAAACACTTGTACCTTCCTAAAACTCGTGAGACCACACTTCTTCCTGTTCTCGGATCGAGCACGACGGGGTTCATCGCAGAATTCCGAATGGAACCGTCTCGGTGCTCTCACTGTGGTAGCGAAGTTCCGTGGTCGCCGACAGAGCAACTCCTGGACCTCGAAATTGGACCTGGAACGCTGTGCCACACGTTTCTAACCTCAAACAACCCACCTGATGAGGCGGAATCGACTCTTGTCCGATCTGTCGTCTCAAACATTACAGAGCGACTGACGTGTCTCGACGAAGAGATATCGGGCCTCCGAGAGCAGCTCAAGCAACTGGAGGAGGAGCGTGCATCGGTCTCATTGCACCACATGCAGACCAAGCGGATCCTCTCCCCGCTCAGGCGAATGCCGCCCGAATTGCTGGCCGAAATTTTCTCGTGGACGTCGCGTGCTGAGCCTGTGTCACCGAACCGAGGCAGATTCAAACAAAGTCCCTGGGTGTTCACACAAATCAGCTCCCGTTGGCGGAAAATCTGTATCTCGACTCCATCCCTGTGGTCGCTGGTGTACATCAATTATGATAAAGGGTCTGTGTATCCTCTGGCTGCTATCGAATGCCAGATCCAGCGCGCCCAGACATTGCAGATTCGATTTTTTCCGTCCCGCGAATATGATTCCGGATCTCAAGCGGAGATGTTCGAGCTGCTCGTAAAGCATTCCTCCCGTTGGGAAGTGCTCAGATTGGGAGTCACTCAAACCATGTTACCCGCCTTAACCACCCTTCGACACCGCGTCCCCTCGCTGCGAGTACTATGGATGCAGTGGAATGACGAGGAAAACCCGGCAGCCGTGGACTCCATTGATTGTTTTTCCACCGCTCCTTCTCTGATCCACGCCGGCGTCTACGAACCATACCGTTCCGTTTCGATTCCTATGCCTGTCCACCAATTGACGTGGTTTGAGCTCGATGGTTCGATGGAGATGCATCTGGGCATTCTGAAACTCGCGAAAAACCTGGTTTCGGCGAGTATTTTCGTCAGTGGCAATGGAGTCACGTCCCACGAAACTTTGCATGTCCCGTCGCTTCGCCGTCTATATGTTTCAGACCTAGTCATTCTCGACTATATCAGAGCCCCTGCTTTGGAGGAGATCGCTGTTTGGGTTGACGAAAATGGGGGTCCTGACACTCAAGCACGTCTTGGCTCATTAATTGACCGCTCAGCCTCTGTCCTCCGACGGCTTTGCCTCAGTGGATGGCCTGATTCGCTTACAACCACCGCGATTCTACTCAAGTACCCCTCCATCGTCGAGCTTGTGGTCGTCATGAACGGCTCTGTTGATGTCAGTGCTCTGATGTCGACATTCACCGTATCTGCACTGCCCGGGAGCACGTCCTTAGCTCCCCATCTCCGTTGTATACTTTTCAGCTGCGATAAAGCCACCGCCATCGACTACACACAGTATTTTGAAATGCTGAAGTCCCGATGGAATGCGCCCAATAACGCACTCAAGGCCGCCACACTTGCCAGAGACGAAGGTCCGCTTCCAGACCCTGCGACGAGGAGTCAGCTCGATGTGCTTCGCCGGGATGGACTAGATTTTTCATTGTTAACGGGGCAGGAGGCGTCGCATGCGATATTTGGTTGGAATTATCATTTACTCTACGCGCCCCCATTGGCTTCCTAGTAGGTTCAACCGCGTAAAAACTGCTCTTATAACGGATGAATTAGTACTGCCTAATCAGATCCACGTTCGTATTTGCGTCTTACTGTACAACCTCCAACAACCATCTCCGACTCTTACGCCCACTCAAATGACTGATCAAGGAAGTCGCCCGAGTCATCCTCCGAGTCTGAAGTATGGAGCGCGCATGTCCATCATTTATGTTTTAGGAAGAAAGTGTACCATAGACTCACCGCCAATGATATCGAAGTGCGTCGTATCTGCCTGCAGCAGTAGATCCCGCACGCTCATGCTCGGCCCTTCATCGAACGGGTCGTCATTCTCGTCCGCGTCGCCGTACCGATACCCAGCACCGGACGGATAGGCCAAAGGTGGCGTCCCCTTGAGCGAGTGTTTCGGGGGTGCGCGCGGTGTCGCGATGTCCGCCTACGAACACTAGATGAGTTGTGCATACCTGTTGATTGGGAAAGAAAAACATGCATGCTCCGACTCATCCTCACTAGCGTATTCACCGGCTATCCGTTTCGCATTCCTCGCCCGATGAGCATGCGATGATCGCGGTTTGACTGTATCGGGAGGAGTCGAGGTATGGAGGTGCTGCGCTCTCTTGGGTGTGTGAGGCGGGGACTGAGCCCTCGCGGATTGTGGCAACCGGGACGGCGCGCACTCGTTTGCGGGAGCCGCGGTAGGAATTACGGGGTATTCCGGAAGTAGGGCCCGCCGGATGTCGTCTATGCGCGATTGAAGTGGTGCCTCCGAACCCGGGGGAGGCAAGCCCAGATTGAGGAAAGACGTCTCAGTTAGCTGGGGCTGCTGGGGCGTTGAACGGTTCTGGAGTAGAAGCCAAGGGCGCGCACACTGACCTCGAAGTCGACACTTATACGATGGTTATCGGCACACAGATTCATGTCGACCGGGCTGAACGTCCGTTGGCTCTTCTTAGTCTTGTGGTGAGAAAAGCGGATACGTAGCTCCGTAGCCGTCTTGCGCGTCCGAGCAAGGGCATCGGTGAGTGACTGCAGCATACGCGCCTCGGCATTGATGCGCCCTGAGAGCGCGATCGCTGCATGAGGCGGGGAAGCGCGAGATGAGGCTTTCGATGTCTTGTTTGCCGTCGCCTCTATGGGGAAAATTGGCCTGCTCAGTTGGCGTAAGATCGCAGGATGGTGGGCTGCAGCAATAGGAAGCGGAGGCGGAGGAGTTGACTGAACCTAGACAAAGGATCAACAAGCGATACCCGAAGAAAGGGTACAAACCGTCGAAGTTCTGCTGTGAATATCGTCCGTAGACGAGGACGACGGGGTAGAGACGGAGTCGATTCGCTCCAGCCCATACAATTCTGATAGGAATCTGAGAGCAGAGCAGCCGCCGGGTCCAGCCCATCGAGTAGCAAGAAGGTTGGACAATTTCGAGTCCGCAAGGGCTCGTAATTTTTCCGTCGACAGTGCGGTATATCTCGTCACTCCAGAACTACCATCACACATGATATTCGCCTGCCATAAATTAGCACCCACTCTTAAAAGATGGTTTCTGACGTACACGCAACACCTTTAGGTCACGCTGCTGTTGGAGTAACTGAAACGCCTTGCGAACCCATGCATCGTGACACAACTGTAATTCGGCCAATTGAGTCATATACAAGCGAGGTTGGCTTTTCAAGAGGCTCTAGATGTCAACCGGGTCAGTGAATCAGATGGAGCGGCTTGAATAGACTTGCATGAGTTTCATTCGGCCCTACGCCGCCTTTAGAGCCCTTCTTCAAAGCATGCGTAGATAGTGCGAGCAACAGTCGCTCGAATCTGCCAGTGTCAAATGAGTCGGAGAGATTTGGGATAAAGGCTCTTTGCCACCTTTCTCCGGCACATTCTTCGAGTAGAGATTTGCGGACCACGACATCTTTCCACCACCAAGCGACGCTTTTCGCGCCGTCAGGTAGAGGTGTTGCTTTGATACTTGGTCGGGGTTGCTTTCCTGAAGGATTCGAAGTCGGAAATATGGAGGTGTGGCGCAGGCTCTCTAAGAATTTCGCAAGAGAGGTTCGGAAAGCCGTAGTTTCCGCCGGCTGCGAACATGGATAGGTCGGAATAACCTTCAAATCAATTCAGAACTGTCCACTGTGGACAGAGATCGGAAGACGCACTTTTCGAACTCCTTCCTTTCCCTCGATACGCGACACGAGAAAGTAACATATGTCCTCCATCGTTCTTGTGCGATCCCGAAGCCCACGGATACGAGGATCAAACATCTTGTGGTCGTATTCCGGCTTGTTCGCGTGTGGGTATTGCAGGATGTAGAGGTGGACAAGGA